AATTCCTGGCCAACATAGCCACCACCCATGTAACAGTGGAGGTCTGTGTGTTGTTTTGATGTTGACCAGGTTTCAGCAAAGCTTCCAGACTAAGATGGACTGGGAAGAAAGGCTTAGTGATCTACTTGTGAAAATCAGCCAGTGGAAAGCCTATGGATCATAAAGTGTTTTGGTTACTCCATGCTGCTCTAACAGAATATAGTACAAATAGGTGGATGGCTTTAACAAACGTAGTTTATTCTCTTATAGTTTTGGAGGCTAGAGTCTGAGTTCAAAGTGCCAGGCTCTAGGGGCTGCTTGAAAGCTCCTTGACCTTGGGTTTCAGCTCTGCCTCCTGCTCCAGGCCCACAGCTGGAGGCGTCTCTTCATCCAGGCAGTTGCTGGGTGCTGAGGCTGACAAACTCTAGGCAGACAAGGAGAAAAGCACAGTCCCAATATTACCAAACCACATGGAAGGTCATTGATTCAAATCCACTAAGATTCCCAAGATGGGCAAACAACTGGCAGGCTGCTGAACAACTCGGCTACATGCAGGATTCAAGCATGCCAAAAGCTGCAGACCATTCCTAAATCTTCTCCTTAATTATTTGGAGCAGACCATATCCCCTAAGGCAGCTACTCAGCTGCTCACAGTAGATTCCACTGTAGAGTTGATTACCAGTCTCATCAAAGGGAATACTATGTTCAGCTGCCCTGCCACTCAAAACCAGGCCCAGCCAAGTTGACACATAACCTTAACTACAACACCAGGCATCTGATCTATAACTCATCATGGGGGTGGTTCAGGACAGAGAAGCTTTTTGTTCAGTTGTACATGAGGTTGCCATGAGTTGGGCCACCTAAAGGCTAACAACAACAGTGATGATAAGGGCTAGGAAGAAAAATAACGAGGTAAAGGGCTAGAGAAGGACAGGACTGCTGTGGGCAGGAGAGCACCCTTTGAGAGAGAGTAGTCAGTAAGCCCTCTCTGGTAAAATGACATCTGAATCCCTGATGAAGCCAAGAAGTGAGCAGTGCTACTAACTTGGGAGAGGTTTCCAGGCAGACCAGCTAAATGAGTCATCAATTGGTCAGGGAAAGAAGGAGAATCTAAGTTCAAAGCCATGAACGTAAACTAAAGAGGTGAGAAGGGAAAAAAGGTTTTGTAGGAGGCAAACTTTTAAATGTTCAACTTCTTGGTTCTAGTTTAGTTAGGGCTTATCTTTTTTAAAAATTTGTTCTTCTTCTTGAATCAATTTTAATAATGGACCATTCTGATTTTTGGAAAGAAAAGCCATTTCATGGACATTTTAAACTTATTAATATCTGTATACCATTAAATTAATAACTTTATTTTTGACCCACGAGATGAAGCTACTGATCTACCTATATGTAGGAATTGTCAAGTGTCTGTCTCTCCTCCTCACATCTTCTAAAGTTCTTCAAGATGACCTAGAAAATTGAAATTGGGCAGATATATGTTTGATCACTGCTAATGGGAAAAAATCTGAAACATACACTTTTTCATTTTATGAGTAATATTTGCTTCAGTTTCTTCCATGAGCAGTTGCCACAAGTGAGTATAATCAATATTTAGTTGGGAAGTCTGTAAAATTTTTTACTTTTTTAATGGTTTATTTGTACTGTTGTAGAAAATATGTATCATAAAATTTGCCATTTTAACCATTTTTTGGTGTAAAATTCAATGGTGTTAGCACATTCACCATCCTGTGCAAACATCACCACAATCTGTTTTTAATTTCTTATTACCCCAAATGGAAATTCTGTACCCATTAAGAGAAAATTCCATACCCTTCATTTCCTTCAGCTCCTGGTGACCACTAATCTACTTTTGTCTCTTTCCATTTGCCTATTTTAGATATTTCATGTAAGTGAGATCATATAATATTTATCCTTCTGTGTTTGACATTTTAATTAGCATAATATTTTCAAGCTTCATCCATTTCCTCATAACATGTATCAGAATTTCTTTTCTCTTTAATGCTGAATATTTAATTTTATGTATGTACCACATTTTGTTTATCCATTCATCTGCTGATGCACACCTGGGTTGATTCCACCTTTTGGTTATTTTGAACATTGATGTTCAATCATCTGTTTGAAGTCCCTGCTTTCAATTCTTTTGGGTATATACCCAGGAGTAGAATTGCTGGGTCATATGGTGGTTCCATGCTTAATTTTAGTTTTATTTTATTTATTGTGATTTGGGTGAAAATTTACAGAGCAAATTCACTTTCCATACAGCAATTCACATATAATTTGTCTCATGACATTGACCACAATTCATCACAATGCAACCACATTTAAATTTTTGAGGAACTGCCCAACCATTTTTCCACAGTAATTGTACCATGTTACATCCATACCAGCAAAGCACAAGGGTTCAGATCTCTCCATGTCCTTGTGTATACCCCTGCCCTGCCCTGTCATTCTAGTCATACTAGTGGGTATGAAGTGTTTCTCATTGTGGTTTTGATCTGCGTTTCCCTGATGATGAATGATTTTGAGCTTTTTTCTCATGTGCTTATTGACTAATTGCATATTTTCTATGAAGAAATGTCTATTCAAGTCCTTTGTCCATTTTAAAATTAGGTTGTTTGCTTTTTTGTTATTGAGTTGTAGGCATTCTTCATATATTTTTTTGTATTAAACCCTTCTCAGATATGTGGTTCCTGCATATTTTCTCCCATTTGGTAGATCACTGTTTTAGTTTTTTTGGTTTACTTTCTTGATAAGGGCCATTGACGGGCAAAAGTTTTTAATTTTGATGAAATGCAATTTATCTGTTTTTTTCTTTTGTTGCTCATGTTTTGGGTGTCATAGCTAAGATTCCACTGTAAAAAGCAAGACTTTCTTCTAAAAAATTGTATGGTTTTGAATCCAAATTTGGGTGATTGATCCATTTTGAGTTAATTTTTATATATGGTGTGAAGTATGGATAAAGCCTTTTTTTTTTTTTTTTTTTTTACTTTGAAGAAACTGGGAAGTGAATGGCTTTGAGTGCAGGGCAGTGACACCATCTCCACAGGGACTGCCTTGGTCTAAGATTTCATTTAGCAATTAGTAATAATGATTGATGTTTGTTAGGATTAACTATCCTTGGAGGTAGCTAAAGGAGCCTGGTGGTGTGGTGGTTAAAATGCTAGCATCCTAACCAAAAGGTCATTGGTTCAAACCCACCAGCTGTTCCACAGGAGAAAGATGTGACAATCTGCTTCTGTAAAGATCTATAGCCTGGGAAACCCTATGTGAGAGTTCTCCTCTGTCCTATAGGGTCACTGTGAATTGGAATTGACCAACCTACCCATGGCAGTAGGTTGTTTTTGGTAGGAGATAGCTAGGATTAAAGATAAAAACACTGAAGAACATAGACATTAAATGGGAGCTATTAAATGGGAGAGGGTAGATTCCAAAAAAGGCTATCTGACTCCCAAGCTCATGACCATCACCACTTTCCTAATGGCTCTCCAATACTATGGTTCTTTAAAAAAAAAAAAAAAAAAATTATTGTGATTTGGGTGCAAATTTACAAAGCATTTTACTCTTAACAGTTCATGTGTGATTGGTTTCATGGCCCTAGTTACAATCTCCAATCATAAAAAGCTCTCTTCCCATCTCTTCCCTGTGACTATCCCTTCCCTGTGGCCTTGTTATCTATGTACTCGTGTCTGTCCAGCTTTCCCTTTACACAAATTCTGCCCTTCTGCTGTTGAATGGTTGGTTGATCTAGGGAGTACATATCACTAGGATTGAGGTTTGCATCTCCATGGGGTAGGTGTTCTGCTTGTAGGGCTTTCTACTCTTGGGCTGAGAGCTAATCCATGGAAGTGAGTCCAGTTCCAGGCCTGAAGAATAACCCAGGGCCATAGTCTTGGGGATTCCACCAGTCTCTCTCCAACCAGAAGTTCTGGTCATTTTTGTGTTTTTGAAATTTGTTCCATATATATGGATGAGCTATGTCCATGCCATTCATAACTGTAAGAGAGCCTTGGAAATCATGACTTTTACATAGGCATATTACCACTATATCTGGTAAAGTTAGGATGCTAACAGGAAGGGAGAAGGACAAAATGGAAGTTATTTAGGCCACCAGTATCTGTCATACTTGCTTAAAATTCTTCAGTGTCCCCTCATTACTGCAAAGTAAAATCCAAATTCCTTCACATGGTGCATAGGGTCTGTTGAGATCTCCTTTGGCCACTTATCTTTCCTGTCTGACTCAACCACCAATTTCCTCAGTCATAAATTATCAGTCACTTTGTGAATACCAAGCTCTCCTATGCTACCACACTTTTGCATATGCTGCTATTTCCTTCCTTCTGCCTTACAAAATTGTATTTCTTTTGTCTGCTCTCAAATATTTAACCTTTCAAGTCTAGCTCAAGGTTTACATCCTATTTGAAATCAGCTTTGGCTCTTGGTAACTGACGAGGTGCTCCTTCCTCCATGCTCCTAGGTTGTTGTTAGTTGCCTCAGGGTTGACTCTGACTCGTGGTGACCATATGTACCACCAAACAAAGTGCTGCCCAGTCCTGCCTCATCCTCATGATCACCAGCATGTTTGAATCCATTATTGCAGACACTGTGTCAATCCCTCTCACAAAGGGTCTCCCATACCCTCATTGGTACTCTACTTCACCAAACATGATGTCCTCCTCTAGTGATTGATCCCTCCTGTTGACATATCCATAGCTACCCTTAACTCATCTTTACAACATTAATTTCATCATAATGAAGTTATTGTAATGTCTATCTATGTCCCCGATGTGACTAGGATCTCCTGAGTTCCTTAGTGTAATTTGAATGAGGAAATGAATTGGTGTTGGTCTTAACCCGTTGTCTTCACAGGTATTGTTTGGCCCAAGTGAGCATTGCCTTTTGCATTCATTTTCCTTTGGTTTTGGCACTCTTGTATACCTGGGTCATGAATCTCTATTTCAGTGATGCTTCTAAAATGTCATTTTTGTTGTTAATTCAGATTTGTTCTCCTTTGGTTCTAGTTGTTGAAATGGATGAGAAGAATGGACTTTCACTACTAGAACTGAATCCTCCTAACCCCTGGGATTCAGACCCCAAAACTATTGAGGATTTGGCTTTTGGAGAAGTACAGGTAAGGAAACATTAAAATTATAATAGTCATAAAAATAAAAATAAAAATAAGATGTTCATTTATTATAGTGATAGATATATTTACACCCTATATTACTATGAATACTCTTTGAGGTGGCTAATTAGGAAGGACATATAATATAATCATTCTTTTGAGCAATTTTCTTTAAGGGACTCATAAAACTTGGCCAGAATTGCAAGGTAGTATAGTCAGAAAGAAATGTTAGAGGAAATTCCCAGGGACGAGTTATGCAAAACTAATAAAGTAAGTTCAGAAATTACTCCTGATGCTAGATCACTGTCTGATAGATGGCAAGTTGTAGATTTCTGCACATTGCTCCTCAGGTCTTTTCTGAATGACCTTGTGCATTCTCTTGGTCTCAGCAAGGATTTTCCTCCACAGGAAACACTGTAGTTTGGAAGAAGTAAACAACCCCAAATTCATTTTTTTTTCGGATATTTGGGAAGCTTGTGAAAACAGCAGTTACTTTTTTTATTTTTATTTTTTGCTACCCTTCTGATTTCTCATGGTTGATTTTTCTAATCTCTCCAAGTGTAGATGTTCAACTCGTAGGCCTGTCTATTGTTTGGCTGAGAGTTAAGCCACAGGAGAGCAGTTCCTTATTTTTGAGGTAACAAATGGAAATGTACCCAAAATTTTAAAAAACAAAACAGAAAACACCAAACGAGTCACTGCCAAGACAATTCTGACTCATGGTGATCTCATGTGTTCTGGGGTAGAACTGTGCTCCATAGGGTTCTCAAGGCTATGACCTTTTGGAAGCAGATTGCCAGGCCTTTCCTCCTAGGCACCTCTAGGTGTATTCAAACCATATTTCAGGGAACAGTCAAGTGCTTAACAATTTGCATCACCAAAGTGTACTGAGAATAGGCATAATAAAAGACTTATTTAATTCTTTGATCTCTTCCCACTCACTTTTTTGGCCATCCACACCTAGTTTTTGTTACCTTCTCTCTGCTCCTTGATTGCATCCCTTTTTCCTATGGATGTGCCAGACCATGGAAAGGCAGTGAGGAATTGGCTTGGAATCTCCCAGCCTTTTCCTGTCTCAAAGCCATTGTTTGTATCCATTTCCAGAGGACTTTGGCCTCATGGGGGGAGGGGTGTGAGTTAGTAGGTAATTTGGAAAAGAAAGTCTTCCAAGTCTGTTTAGCAGTTGTCAGTCCACTCTTTGGTGCCAAGCCCAAACTCATAGAGAATCTTTCATTCATATTCTTATTCACTCCCATTCTAGCATTTAAATCCTTAAGTGCCTGTCATAAAGTTTCTACTATCTTTCCTTATAAACTGTGGTATGAGTGTAATGGTCTTGAAAGATATTCCACATTGCAGACTATGAATAGGTGTGTAAAGGCAAAAGCAACCACTACTGTGGAGTCGGATCCAACTCATAGAAACCCTTCCTTGGGTTTCCGAGGCAGTATCACTACGGAAGTAGATTGCCCAACCTTCCTTCCAAGGAGTGGCTGGTGGGTTTAACTACCAGCCTTCTGGTTAGCAGTCAAATGCCTTAGGCACTATGCCACCAGAGCTCCTGAATAAGTGTGTAGGAGCTAATTCAAGCAGAGTAAAACTTGTTAGTGGCCACTGAGTCTGCTCTGACTTGTGATGACCCCATGTACTACAGAGTGAAACAATGTCATTTTCATGATCATTGATATATTTGAGTCCATTTTTGTGGCTACTGTGTATTTTCAGTGCACTGTATCTTCTGGCCAAAATGGATCTCCCAAAAACCCAAAATAGATGTCAGATGAGACTGCAACTCGCTCTTGATCATACAGTAGCTAAAGCAGATGGACAAAAATGATGAAATAAAAGAGCTGAACAGAAGATTTCAAAGGGGCACTCGAGAAGACAAAGTAAAGTATTATAATGAAAAGACCTGGAGCTAGAAAACCAAAAGAGAAGAACACACTTGGCATTTCTCAAACTGAAAGAACTGAAGAAAAAATTCAAGCCCTGAGTTGCAATATTGAAGGGTTTTATGGGTAAAATATTGAATGATGAGGAAGCATTAAAAGAAAATGAAAGGAATACACAGAGTCACTGTACAAAAAGAATTGATCAATATTCAACTATTTCAGGAGGTAGCATATGATCAAGAAAGAATGACATTGAAGGAAGAAGTCTAGGCTGCACTGAGAGAATTGGCAAAAAGCAATGCTCTAGGAATTGATGGAATATACAATAAGATGTTTCAACAAATTGGTGCAGCACTGGAGGCACTTACTTGTTTATGCCAAGAAATTTGGAAGACTACTGACTGAAGAGATCCATATTTGGGCACATTCCAAAGAAAGGTGATCCAACACAATGTGCAAATTAACAAACAATGTCACTAATAAGTAAAATTTTCCTGAAGATAGTTCAGAAATGGTTGCAGAAGTATATTGACAAGGAACTTCCAGAAATTTGAGCTGGATTTAGAAGACATGGAACTAGGGATACCATTGCTGATGTCAGATGGATCTTGGCTGAAAGTAAAGAATATTAGAAAGATGTTTATCTGTGTTTTGTTGGCTATGCAAAGGCATTCAACTCCGTGGATCATAACAAATTATGAATAACATTAAGAAGAATGGGAATTCCAGAATACTTAATTGTACTCATGAGGAACCTGTACATAGACCAAGAGGCTGTCATTTTAACAGAGTAAAGGAGGGTGTGTGTCAGAGTTTTATATTTCACCTTACTTAATTGATCTGTATGCTAAGCAAATAATTTGGGAAGCTGGACTATATAAAGAAGAATGTGGCATCAGGATTGAAGGAAGATTCATTAATAACCTACAATATGCAGATGACACAACCTTGCTTGCTAGAAGTGAAAACTTGAAGCACTTACTGATGAAGGTCAAAGACTATAGTCTTTGGTATGGATTACACATCAACAAAAAGAAAACAAAAGTCCTCACAAGTGGACCAATAAATATCACAATAAATGGAGAAAAGATTGAAGTTGTCAAGGATTTCATTTTACTTTGATCCACAATCAATGTCCATGGAATCAGCAGTTAAGAAATCAGACTTCTGCTGCAAAAGACTTCTTGTAAGTATCAAGGAGCAAAGATATCACTTTGAAGACTAAGGTGCACCTAACCCAAGCTATGATATTTTCAGTTGTCTCATATGCATGTGAAAGCTGGACAAAGAATAAGGAAGACTGAAGAAGAGTTGATGCATTTGAATTGTGGTGTTGGTGAAGAATATTGAAAATACTATGGACAGTCAGAAGAATGAACAAATCTGTCCTGGACGAAGTACAAACAGAATGGCCAGACTTCATACTTTGGTCACATTGTTAGAAGGGACCATTCCCGGGAGAAGGGGATATTATGCCTGATAAAGTAGAAGGTCAGTGAAAAGAGGAAGACCCTCAACAAGATGGATTGACATAGTGACTGCAAGATGGACTCAAGCATAGCAAGGATTGTGAGTATGGCACAGAACCAGGCAGTGTTTCATTCTGCTGTACATATAGTTGCGTTTGGAGCCAACTCGATGGCACCTAACAACAACAAAAACGTATCTTCTGGTTGTTGTTGTTGTTATGTGCCCTCAAGTTGGCCCCGACTCATAGCGACCCCTCCTTGGGTTTCTGAGGCAGTATCTCTATGGAAGTAGATTGCCCAATCTTCCTTCTGAGGAGTGGCTGG